CGTTACACTACGCACTGAAAAGTAAGCAACTTTTCTACCATGTTCGCCCGTGACAACACCTGAGAGCCCTTGAAAGTGGCGGTGCCAAGTGTATGCCTGCTTGATGTATCCCGACTTCTTGATGTACCATCGATCGGTGGACGTTCCGCGTGGATCAACTAGTAATTGGACGCCATTCGAGATCTTGTAAGTTTGCGTGAAGCCGCAGTGCACTAGTTTTCCCTAGAATAATGTGAGGTGATGCCAGGGTGAGGAGAAAAAGAGTACATTGAGCTTTAAGTTTACGGTGTGATTCAGCTCTAGAAAAAAATGGGCGGATGCTAGGCTGGGCTGAGGTGAACTACCACACTGACCTCGACTTTGATTCCTACACGTTCACCACTAGGCAGGACGAGATCCAAGGCAAAATGGGCTTTCATCCATTTATCTTTTAGATGGGCTTCAACAGACATGATGTGGGCGTTATTGCCGTCCTGGGTCACGTCAAAATCTTGGTTGGTCCATGATAGCTTGCGCTGGAAACTGAAGCTTTGGATTGTGCTGGTTGGATTTAATGGTGGGTCAATGTTATCTTCACCGGCGAATGCCTGGTGATTCAAAAGCAACAAAGAGGCTGTAAGTGTAAGGAAGGTGAAGCGCATTGTGTTGCGAGTTGTGGGATGTTGAGTGGGGGGAGGGGCTGATGGAGGAGGGGAGGAATGGATCCTAAAAGTAGTCCGTAGGCTGAAACGGCGTGAATGAATCTCCAATCAGGACCCGTCTTGAGCCGTACACAAGGAAGCACACAATGCAGCGTGAGGCGGGCGATGTCCGATTTGCCTCAAAGCAGATCAATTGTATTCAACTACACAATTTGTTTTAAGAAGAAGATTGCTCTTGGTTTCAGCGTTTCAGGATTGCAGGGCGGGAGGTGTAGCTTGGAGTTGCATACATACACGCTCTAAAACTGCATCCATCAACTCCTTATCCAGTTCCGGTTGTTTGGCTACGGTACATATCTTCCAGAAATCTATGGCCATGTACATATTTATATTTCTCTCCAGGATGACAATGAAGGCGCTCTGGATGGATGGCTTGGAGTTGGACTAAGCAAATGCGAAGGGAAGCTATGGAAAATTAGCTTCTGCGCCTCGAGCACTCGACAGCGTACCCATTCCGAGTACTGTTCAAGCGAGCGCTTCAATACGAGCATTATTGGCCTGACGCGCACGGAGATGGACGGGAAGAGACTGAGAGGGAGCAGATCATAGACTCTTCAGGATGACCGATCGTGGAACTTCACGAGGCGATTCCAAAAAATGATGTTGCCGGCGATTAAGGCGAACCAACAGTCGATCGTCAGGCGCGATGCGCCGACCCGGAGGGGGCTGGGTACCGGCTGATAAATTCAGGCTAAATAAAACCAAATTTAAGCCTAAAGAAAAGATGAGTACAATGAAATAAAGGAAACAATTTACCTACATGAATCAAACAGGAACAGTATAGAGAGGTCAAGTATAGAAACAGACCACCACACATAACTGGGGCAAAACGCTGGTAGAAAAGCAAGGGTTGGATGATCATGGTCAACAGGAAGATGGGAAAATAAAAAGGAAGAAAGAAATCGAAGAACCTCTTGAAAAAGGCGTCCATGCAGACCGTTGGCCAGTGGTACATAAACTAGATCTCACTTCCGATTTGAAGTGATTGCACCGGAGTGACGTCAGAAGATGCAGAAGATTCGAGTTCGAGTTGAAAGTTGAGAGCACAGGAGCGCCGTATAAGCCAATACCGACTCTTGGCCCTGGGGCCAGGCCGGCTGGCCGCTTGCTCAGGCTGATATCCAACTCGGAAGCCGCCTGCAGGGGAGTGGTCGGTCCAGGTCGTTGCCGAACTTAACCCCAGTCCGGCCTGCGATCGCGCCGCCACCAAGTACGACCTGCGCGAGGGGTGCCAGCCCAAGCAGAACGGAATGCAATGTTGCTGACCGTCACGGATGCTCAGGGGTCGACAGCCAACCTGCTTAGACCCGCAATCACGTAGCTCACTACTGCCGTCTTGTGCTGAGACTTCCTCGAGCCAAGAGCACCCGAGATCGGCTTCCTCTCGGCCAACGAGCCGGGTCGTTCCCAAATAACACCAGTCCCCTGCGAGCCCAGGCGAAGAGGCGTGCAAAGCACGACTTGCGCGACTTCCTCGGAGGGGACTTACGTTCGGGTCCTTGCGCAAAGCCAAGCGGAGCAACGGGGCAGGGAAAACACGGTGTTGTTCACCGTAATAATCAAAAACACGTTGTTGCTCACCGTCACGGATGCACGAAGGTCGACAGCCCCAAAGGAATCACGGAGCTCCCTGCTGTCCTCTTGTCCCAGGACTTTCGTCAGCCGAGGGTGCAAGAGATCGGCTTCCTCTCGGCCAACGAGCCCCGACTCCTCTGTGATACATGTGATCCTCCTCCTTAGTCACATCGTCAATCACCTTTTCTTTCTCCTCACATGGTCTGTCTCAGGCAGCTCCGGCGAGTCCGAATACCTCGGAATCTCTCCAATCCCTCGTCTTCAAATTCTCTCAAGCACTTTCTTTGATCTCTAGTTTCATCAACCCTTCTGCTTCCTTGTCATGTTTCTGACAATTTTTGATCTGACAAAAAAAAAAACACTTTTTTTGTTTGAGAATCATCATCTCCTTTTTCAGTTGGTGCATAAACTAAAGCCTCTAGCCGTGAATCATACAAAAACCGAGGATTCAGACTTTTTGTTCTTACTGTTTGTTAACATGTATATAGTCGCTTTGAAGGAATCATCTTAAAAATGATGCCACTTACAATTTCAATGTATCACTCATACCTGGGCACGCCGTTGAGACTAGTGCCTAGCAGGATGCTTTCTATCCACACCGGTATTCATAGTGGTTGACATCATCTTGGAAACTTAAATGGGGGCGACGATAAGCCCACAAAGATGTCCAATTGACAGGTGTAGGGTGATGAATGACGTATGAGTGTGAGACGCAGGAATGGATGAATGGCCATCGGCCATCGCTGGTGTATGAAAACTGCTCAACAGCCATGAAAGGGGTTTCAGGCCGAGTTGCGCGTTGCGCAGAGAGTCGGCATGGGGGCACTCAATTGTCGCCGCTGTGGGCCTACAATGTCTTACCTCCGTCCGAACCAATTTATACGAATCTGGAGAGAAGTTTTGGGTTGATGGCAGCTGCCAATTGGTGCACACAAAAAAATTGTCTCGCTGAGACCGACCACGCCAGATAAGCAGGATGGCCACTTGGTGTTAATTCCATTCCCTGCAAGGGTTCATGAGCGTGTTCCAGTAGTAAATACCTCCAACATTCACCTGGACCGCCTGACATCCTCGTTGATTGTGATCCATTCTCTAGGATCATTCCTCGCGTTTTTTTTTTTGTCATGATGGTTGCCTGGCTGTTATTGCTTCTAGTTAAGCACTCTTCACTACTGCTTGATTTGATGACCAAAGCTTACAAGTCACCATTTCATGTTTATCCAGATTGTTGGACATGGCATACCGACTGAATCCTCCATGGAACTCGGCCAACTCCCACAAGTATCACAAGCTGTAGATACCGCTGGTGATTCTAAGATCTTTCAACACCAATTAAAACGATTCGAGGGAGATTTACCTAATGAATCACCTCACAGTGTATGTGGATTGATGTTTAAAAGCTGTGCTATGTTGTGCTCGGAAACTTCCAGAGGTCTGGGAGCTGAAACGCTGATCTTTCTAGTCCGAGGTAGTCATTAGAATTGACGATAATGAGGGGGGCGGTAAGGCAGCCCCAGAAGATTCAAGGCACACAGCCACTGACCTCGCAAGCTCTGACGATTCCGACCAGAAAACCAGGTCCATTGCTTTGACAGGAGCAGATGGATCTCTTGGGGAAAACAGTCAAAGGATTGAATTGTGTCCAATTTGTGCAGAAGAATGGTCAAAACCCTATCGCAAGTTACCTTGTAACCACCTCGTCCACAGATGTGTTGGATCATGGTTAGAACAGAATGGCACCTGTCCAATTTGTCGAGCGCCAGTTTCTGATGAAGGGGTGAAAGGAAGTGCTCCAGCTTCAAACATGCCGGAAGCAGACCGGAACATGATAGTCTTCCCAGGTGCTCAACGGCCAGGCCAAGTCAATAGAATTAACTCTCAGGTTCAAGGGCAAGATAATAAACGGAGTCTTTGCTGTAAATTGAGCATAGCTTTGTATTGCTTATTGCTCATCACGGGGATAGTGATGGTGATTGTCGAGTAAGATTTCTAGCTTAGTTTTGCTTTGGCTGTCTCAGCTCAAGTAAGCTCAACTTTTACTAACCTAACACCATCCACAGAGATTCAATTCATGGCCATCTTGGTGGTGATCCTCACAAAAATCTTCCCTGCCCACCTCCTCAGCTTTCGTATTACCCTCCTCCCTACCATCCTTGATTGATAGCTGGACCTTCTTGTTTACAGAGGTTCCAGATAGATTTTCTCCAGTTTTTTTGTGTAATAAAATCTTGGGATGATTCACATTGAACCCAGTCCTTGCGCTGAAGCCTCTTTTTCACATTTTCTTCTAGTGTGTATCTTGATTTCTAAATACTCAGACTTGCTTCATGATTTTGCTCAAATCAATCTAAATTAACCAACCCCGCTGTTGACTTCATACATGCTTGACTGGTTTCTCAATTTGCCTCCCTTGCTCTATTTTCTATTCATATTACTAGAGATTAAGACTGGATATGATCTCCCTAGAATTAGTCATCCTAATTCAATATTCATCTTTATTTTTATGAGAACCTGATGATTGAGAGCTTTGGTGAAAGGGAGCTGTGTCATAACACACCAGTAATTTTTAGGGGAATCACACAGAGGAATGGTGATCTTCAAAATCAATAATGATTAATATTTAACTGAGTATAATGTGATTGGTACTTGAGAATGAGAGTACATAATACCAATTCAAATCAGAACAAGAGTGATGGAAGCAAGAAATGGTTTTCTCATAGAGTTGGGGGGTGACTGTGTGCTCACAAAGGACCAATATCTATAAGGTTCCATAGACAATCAGATAAATCCTTGTTTGATTTTTTTTGGTTGTGTGAAAGAAAGCATCATTAAACAATATCTTGCACTTAGGATCAGGGGAGCAAAACTTCCTGATATGAACAAGGTTATTGGATGATCAACATTTTTCTTATCAAGTTGCTTGGATCACTTTTTACTGACTCCATGGGGGTACACATTGGTACATACAATTCAAAAAAACAATAATAAAATTAAATTCAGAAGGATTTGGGATTCTATGATGATCTTTTACTTTTCCCATTTGATGAGGATAGTTTTCCTCTTGCACAAAAGGGTGGATTCATGAGTAAATGAATGTAGACTGTATTTAGATTGATGATCATACTCGTTGGTTTTTAATATGTATGTATGTAGATTGGATCTGATTGGATGGAGGCAATTTTGTTCAGTATTGAGTGGTAAACCTCGAGTGAGCATTGAGTCATTGAGTTCATTGACACGTGTTCTGTCACTGTGTCGATCGATGACAGGGTTGTGATAGGTCATGTGCATCATAAGATCAACCTGATTCCCAGTTCGCTGGTTTGGTTTGAGTTTTGTACAGTCCGAAACCCAACCGAAAACTGGTTTAAACCCTCAGCCCGCTGTTCAGTCCGACCTTCAGCCTCGCCTCTCCGTCACAGCACTCACTATCCCCAAGTGAATAAGACCAAACAGAGAAACAAAAAACAACTGCAGGAAACACTCATCACTTATCACTTGACTCAGAGACACTCGTTCTTCACTTCAATCGATCCACTTCATCATGGCCATCAGTCACAGTCAGTCCGGTTTCATTCTGAATCTGAGTTCATTTCCTGCTCATACTGACAGACTGACTGAACTTCAAACGTTTTTCCATGACTACACAGTCTCACCCCGACTCACAGCCACCAACGACCAACCTTCATCCCCAATGCGAACCCCACGACCGCTGATCTCCAAGACCGTCCAGCTATCATCGCCGGTCCAGAAGCATCAGGAGATCAAGAGTCGGAAGAAAGAATTCCCGAGCGTGGCCAAGTTGTTGGATGGGATCAGCTTCCAGGATGAAACACATCCCGACTTCTTCCTGAGGGCCTCCCGATTCAAGCCCAAGAAGCCCATCCTGCATCCTTCCGAGCTTGTCCTCCCCCGTCCTTCTTCCTCCTCCTCACGATACCTTCCCGAGAATCTCATCGCCAGTCACCCTCTATCATCCTTCGACGCCCTCAAACCTGCGACTGTGCCTGCATGCTCATCATCATCCACACCTCTCCTATCCCAAAGAACTTCCGACTCAACTACTACCACTAGTAGTAGCAGCTCATTCTCACCCAGAAGTCCTGCCGACTCTTGTCCATCTAGTCCGGTCCATCATACGACCATCAACTCGCTCAAACGTGTCTACACTTCATCTTCGGAAGAAGACGATGAAAGCGATGAGGATGGGGATGACGAGGATTCGGAAGAGAAGAGCAGCACGAGAAGTAGTGAGAGCAGCGATGAACGGGCTCTGAAACGCTCGTCGGCGTTCGGCCTAGGGATCGTCTGGCAGACCGGCCTTGGGGAGCGCGGATCCTCGCCGGAAACCGAGCGCCCAATCGCCCGTCCTTCGAGGACTCGGCTCACTAAAACATCTCTCGAGCGGTCCTCTCCTGCCAAATCCTCCGTTGCTTCTCCTGGTGCTGCTGGGGCTGTTGATGACGCGGGCTACAATGCGTTGAACGGCAGGTCGGAGGGGCCGTTGCTCGGCTTGGTCAGCTCGAGATCTATCGAGATCCGGCAGACTGATAAGAGGAGACGTGAGTGCCTGTCATACTTGCTTTCTCTTGCTCTCTCTTCTATCCCCTTTTTCGGATCGGAGACTAGTTCCCCAAGTGTATCGGAGTACATATCCTCAGCGCGCTCTCCCTCTTTCCCATCTACATATATCCGTTAGAGAGGGAAGAGAAAACAGTCACCAAAATGCACATACTCCAAACAAGACAGCGCTCGATTTTTTTTCTCTCTCACTTTTCCCCAAACGCCTATTTCTTCTGCTTCTTTTATTTTTGAAATCTTGTTCATTGGAAAGGATGAGGATATCTTATTTATTTATCTATATATCATATCTCTACACACAAAAAAAAAAATCTTTGTCGTATACAGGATTTCTTCATGGAGTCCGATTCCATCAAGTGATTCGGTAGCCCAACCTCCCTCCATCCTCCATCTCTCATCCCACAAGAAGCTTAACAAGAAGAAGAATGAATCAATCCAAGTCGTATCGACCGGCCCCTTCTTCTCGCTCCAAAATCCTCATCGTTCTTTTTTTTCTATCGTCTTCGTCTTCGTCGTTGTACTCGTCCTTCTTTGGCCGAAGAGGGGCTCGACTTCAAGACTGGATCTCTTGCTCTCTTTTCTGTCATCACAACTGTTGGTGTGTGTGTACTCTTTTTTGTCCCTCTTTGTTTATACATATATATATATATATATATATATATATATATATATATCATGTTCTTTTTTTTTTGGCATTATTAGTATCAGTTTTAGTTTGAGCTTTTTTTTCCTTTGGTCTTGGTTTTCTTTTATCATTCAATTCATTCGAAACCCTAACAGAAACAAAAATGTAACTTCTCTATCGTTTATCTGGCTACTTGTCATCTTTTTTTTTTTCTATCTTGTTGAAGTTTTGTTTTTATTTACGCAATAAATAAAATAAAATTGTTGGAGTGCATTATGGTGAGTAGTGTGGATTGACACAGTTGGGTGTCATTCAAATACATCCTGGGAATTGATTGCTCCCCATTTCATAGTCCCAAGGATTAGGTTCCCCTTTGAACCTCAGTCAGCTGAGCAGGAGGTTCCTTTGGAATAAAAGGGCAGGTGAAATGTATTCACAATTCTAGAACAAGGCTCCTAATAACAGGCTCATATGTAAGGGAGTCTGATGAATCAATCACACCTGATATATAACCAATCAGCACAACTCGAGAATGCAATTACACGATGTATGAACAAAGAAAGTAAATGATGATGATGTTATTCATTTCATTATTTCCACTGTTTGTATTCCACTTTCCTCATGTATCTAATACACGATAGATGCTGACTTAGAGATCTCCTCTTGGTGGTTAGCCCAAGCAGCCAGAAGGGTTTATAAGGGTGGCCATTGCTTGATCAAATTGGCTTGCAACACCTTATGTGGTGTATGCCAATGGCTTCTCATAGATGATCCGGGAAATCAGAGATTCATGTTTTTCTGTTTGGGAATCATGCAAAGTGACCATGAAATGGAAAGTCTTCAAATATAAAACCTCAAGAGTTTGAAAGATCTTGAGGTAGAGCAAGAATTTATGACAAGGCAATGTGAAAGAGTTTGAAGAGGGGACTGAAAGGTAGAGCAGAGTAAGATAAAGGATCAGCACACGTGAGTTCTATTATTTGTTATGAATATGGGCTACATTAAATGAACTGTGTAAAAGGGCCAAAAAGTGGTCATGATGAATAGAATAAAAAAACTTGACCAATAATATTAGTGAGATCAACACTAAAATTAAAAATTTTTAGGACTTATTTTGCAGCCAAAAAAAATTGTACAATATAGTGTGGATGCCTTTGACATCTGTCATGAAGTTTTGGCAGGAGAAGCTGTCATAGTTTGTCAGGCAAAAATAATCATATATTGCCCACAATATCCAGAATGGCCTTGAAGATTATGACAATAAAAATCAGGGTAATATGAGCAAAACATTAGGGTTTATCCAATTCTGGAGGAGTTCCTGTTGATATCTGTAGACCCTACAGAATAAGATTTAGCCCCACTGAACTCACATTTCACAGACAAATCTGATCCAAGGCCTACAAATCTGGATTTGTAGGTGCTACCAACACTGCCACAGATACGATACACTGTGTGTATCATGGAGAATTCTGCAAAGCTGCATGGCATAAAACCAAATTTGTTGAATCTCCTTGCAAATAAAAGCAGATTGGTCAGATAGTTTTTTTTTTTTATTGGGGCTCAGATACATAGTGATACATGGCAGATACGGGCAGATACCGTATCTGTGGCAGCGTTGGTGCTACATAACCAATGATGGGAAGTTCTCCACTATCTTACTAAGCTTGTCTAGGCAAACTTATTGATACGATTTTCCATCCTAGAGCCTTTTATCAAGATCCTGATCTGTTAGATCATCAGTTGCATGGAAGAAAAGATTTTTGAAAAATTGCTTGGGGAGGGATTTGATATCTTGGTCCTCATGCTCACACCTGAGCTTCTCCCAGAGTGTTGTGTAATCAATTTCCAATCATGTTCCTAAAACAATCCAGATGTTTTCAAATTGAAGTACCTCTTGCATGAGTATGTAAGAATATTGGCTGAAATTCTATCTATCCTTCCTTTCCAATTTTTTTGGTAATACTTCTTGAGGTTTCTGTCACACAGCAGCTGGTACAAGAAGCCGGGTGGGCACTAAGCAAAAGGAATGAGTCAAATGAAGTTTTGAAGAAATGACTAAACAGCTGAAAGAGCTGCTTCGAGTGTGCAAGTTTGAATCTACCTGAAAACAAATTAAAGTGGCAATCCAAAACCTGATGACCTGGCCATACCCAATGGAGTACCAGGTCGGGTAGGACTTTGGGACATGGGTATCCAATTGAATGTCCACATATAGGAGACTGGAGCATGATTTCCCTGTCTTGAAGTTGGAGTCAAATTGGCAACCTCTGATGTTCCCTGAAGAACGTTACCTTTTGAAAACACCCGGCATATCCAACACCGCGTCCGCATATACCACCGGGTTTAGATGCCAGGTCTGTAGAGCTGGAATCTCGGGATTTGTGTAGAAGTGGATGAACAAACTGTAAGAATCCGGGATGACAACACTGAGAACTATTTGCTCACATAATGTCATAATGTCTTTACTGTCAGGTTTTATTTCATATTATCCTTTTTCGATGACTTTCATTTCATATTTTCTCTTTCCGTTCTTTTTCATTTCATATATACATAAATCTTGTTACATAATCAAAAGATTTATAAAGTTGTATCCGCGACAGACTATTCGAGTTTCCTCATCTTTCTATTTGCACTCGAATAAACCTAATCGCGGAACTCATCGTTTTTTCTCATCATCTTACAGGTTTGTAGTAGCTTTATTCCTATCATGCAATTCATCTTTCTATTTGCACTCGAATAAACCTAATCACGGAACTCATCGTTTTTTCTCATCATCTTACACAAACTCCCCCAAGGGGAAATAGATTACCAGAGATGAAGAAGGTTTATATACAACAGATAGTATGTACTTGAGTTTGTGAGAAAGAAAGTATAAAACCATAATATAAACTATGTGAAAACTATAAGATAATATATGTGTTATGTAATAGATGATGACTAATGAAGAAAACCTAAAGTGACATGTCACAACAAGGTCAGCCGTTACCCAACCCGGGCTGAAGGGTTGCCACCTTACAACAAATGGAGGACTTCCCGTCAGATCTGGGAGCCTCGCAGTTTCCGATTTAGACCCAAAAAGTCTAGATTTTTGCAGGGAAATCTAGCTTTTTCGGCTCTAAATCGAAACTGGGAGATGTTGACGGGAAGTCATCCAATGCCAGATTTTGGTGATTTGCGGATGAGAAACCATCTTGATCACTCTTGAAGGTCATTTTGAAGAAAAAAAAGCACAAGTTGCCAGCATTCCAACACTGAGTATCATGACATCCCCATATGGGAAAGGGATGCCAAAGAAAAGATACATACGGAAGGATCCTGATCACAGACTTTGCAGTTCAAATGTGTTTGGCTGAGGTCGAGGGAGGGGATGCAGGTTTAAAAAGGGGTCGCTGTAATTTTACAAACTATATTTTACAAGACATATGTCTTGTAAATCAGATGGTTTGTAAAATTACATTTTTATGGGGGTAATGTATAATTTTACAAACCATCACCAAAAAATATGGGTTGCAAAAAAAAGGGTTGCAAAATATGTGCCTTAAAATTGCAACTCATGCCCCATGGAGTAGAATTTTAAGGCACATATGTTGCAACCCTTATGTCTTGCAAACAATATGATTTGCAAAAGTACATTTTTGCCTTATTTCAAGGAATTTTGCAACCATTAGTTTGCAACCCATCTATGAGTTGTAAATTATGTTTTGCAAAACTGCACAACATGGTATGTAAAATTGAATTTTACAAACCATATTTTGCAACCCTTTCAAGCAATTTTGCAACCATTAGTTTGCAACCCATCTATGAGTTGTAAATTATGTTTTGCAAAATTGCACAACATGGTATATAAAATTGAATTTTACAAACCATATTTTGCAACCCTCCAAAAAAAAAAAGAAAAAAAAGAGGGAGACACTATGGAATATGGAGGTACTGAACCACCACTTTGGCCAAGAAAAAAAGAAAAAAAGAAAAAAAGAAAAAAAGAAAAAACAAACAAACAAATTCAGTCATTGCTGGGGGTGTTTAATCCCATCAATGACCAGTCAAAACTGGTCATTGATGGGGGTGCTTGGGGGTGTTTACTTCCATCAATGACTGGTCCAAACCAGTCATTGATGGGGATGTTGGGGGTGTATACTCCCATCAAGGACTGGTCATAACTGGTCCTTGATGGGAGTGTTTCCTTCCATTGATAACCAGTGTCATAAATGGTCAACAATGGGAGGAATGTAGGGCCAAATTGGCTGATGATTTTTTTTTTCATTTTTTGATGGGAGTAAACACTCCAATTGATGACTGGTTTTGACTGTTCATTGATGGGAGTTAAAACCCACATAAATGACAGGTCAAAACTGGTCATCAATGATAGACACAATCCCATAATTTTTACATTTTTTTGGCCAAAGTGGCAGTTCAGTACCTCCATACTCCATAGTGTCTCCCTGTTTTTTTTTCCTTTTTTTTTTTTTTTTTTTTTTTTTTTTGGAGGGTTGCAAAATATGGTTTGTAAAATTAAATCTTATATACCATGTTGTGCAATTTTGCAAAACATACTTTACAACTCATAGATGGGCTGCAAACTAATGGTTGCAAAATTGCTTGAAAGGGTTGCAAAATATGGTTTGTAAAATTCAATTTTACATACCATGTTGTGCAGTTTTGCAAAACATAATTTACAACTCATAGATGGGTTGCAAACTAATGGTTGCAAAATTCCTTGAAATAAGGCAAAAATGTACTTTTGCAAATCATATTGTTTGCAAGACATAAGGGTTGCAACATATGTGCCTTAAAATTCTACTCCATGGGGCATGAGTTGCAATTTTAAGGCACATATTTTGCAACCCTTTTTTTTGCAACCCATATTTTTTGGTGATGGTTTGTAAAATTATACATTACCCCCATAAAAATGTAATTTTACAAACTATCCGGTTTACAAGACATATGTCTTGTAAAAAATAGTTTGTAAAATTCACTTACCCCTTTAAAAAGCCATCAAGGACAAGATCAGTCTTGTTCCGATCCTGAAACCACATCCGGAGGACAGGACAGTTCCTCAGACACGTTTAAGAGAGAAACGACGACAGCCTCCATCATACAAAACTCTTCTTCTCGAGTTGGCTACAATGTGTGCACTTGATCTATCCCCCCACCAATTAACTTGGACGTCAGACTTGGTCCTGCCTGGCAAACTAGTCACTTGGACATCCTCATCAATCCTGAAGAAACTCAGCCAATCAGCAGATTCGCAAGAGCAGCAGGCTTCCCGACATTCGGCCAAGCTACATCCGTCATTCGACCCGCTCAACTATCATCGGAAGGGTGGCTCGGAGTTGATAGGATAAAACGCTACTACTTCTCTTCCATAGGGCAGTCGAAGACATAATCCCAGCATGGAAGCGACAAGTGCTTCTTCATCAACGGCACTTCGAGCAGCCAGCCTCATGCTCTTCTTGATTCCCTCGGCCGTCTATTGCGGCCTACCGCCGAGCCCGCCTGCCCCCCAGCAGCCACTCAACCAAGGTATGCAATCCCTGGGCACTCCATCCACTCTCGTCTGCGAACTGACTATGCCCCACAGTCGTCCTCGCTCCTTGCGTTCTACCACAAAGACTCAGCCCCCAGTTATGGGACCAACTCCACCTCGACGATTTCCTCAAGAACTATCCCGGCATCCAATCGATTTCCGTACAGGTTCATTAACACAACTTCCCTCTCATCTCTTAGAACTCTTGCTAAATTTGCTTCATCTCGGTCTTCCGTTTTTTTCGGATCGAATCGTATCATTAAAACCTCTTCAAGGAATTTGCCCGACAAAATGGCGCCCAAAACTTCCACTGCGGAATTGGAGAAAAATGTAACATCGGTGAGGTAAGTTATCCAGCTAGCGCCAGCCAAAAAGAAAGATATTCAAAAAAATACTTGATTTGAATTATCATATCGATCCCAATCAGATTGCAACAAGAAACTGACGAATTTCTTACATCTCTTCAATTAAAGCTGTGTTATCCGGTCAAAGGTTTGGCTTGGTATAGCTTGTTCGCGATCCAAGAGTTCAACCTATTCATGAACTCGGTCTATAAGGCTGTCGGGACGACGATGGACTTGGTCCGCTGTGAGTCTCCTTACACGCTCTATTGTAGATTATAATGGGTGCCTTCAAAGAGAATCATGTTGACGTTATCTGTGTTGGATAGTTACTACGGCGTCTCTCCTGGGTGATCTGTAAGAGGCCTGTTTATCTCGTAGCCTCGAATGAGATTGACACAAGAAAGAACAACTGAAGATAGATCCTAACATTCTGATGATGAAGGATCAAGCCGGCAGATAAATCAAAACACCATCACGAGATGCTCTGGTTTGACACGTTTATGTTCCTGACCGCGATCACCATCTCGCTGTCGTTCGGCCTACTGGTGAGCATGAGTGCCTTGACAGCAGACTCGACCTGGTTCACTGTCGGCGCGCTCTCGAAATACATAGGCGCGGCAAGCGGGGCGACGTTCACGGGCTTTGCAATAGGGAATATGGTCCATCGGTCGACGGAGCGCAAGCCGGAATCCGCCTTCGACTATGTAAGATGTATTCTTTCTGCTCCTTTGCTCCTCTCCTCCGCATCCCTTCTGACCGTTCCTAGACTGGCCCTTTTTTTTGGATGCACTAGTGGTCCCAATTCGCGTTCTACTTCAGTCAGTGTCAGACCCAGATGCAACAGGGCATCACTGACTCCCTCCGCCAGACACTGGACCAGGGAATCGCAAAGCCCGGCACAAATTCACTGGCCGACCTTTTCGCACATGGCGCCTTCCTCAGCCCCCGGGCTAAGAAAACCTCACCCGAGATCGAGGCAGCGCTCAAAGACGTTACCCAGATCAGGGCCCTCGTCATCCTCTTAAGGTCCATGGTATGCCCCCCCCCCCTCTTCCCAATTTCCATATGTGGTGCAACATCTGCTCATCCCTTATATGTTTTTTAGAACGCTTTTATCACTCGCGGTAGTGTTAGTCGCCTCTCTTGAGCTCACTCCCATCAGTTCTATAGACCATCATCTTCTCTCTCCTATGTATTGAGAACCTGTTTCCTATTCTTTTTTCGTACAATTGTATAATACAGGAGCCTTGCCGGGGACGTGGAATTAACGGAGCATGGGACGAGCGGGACCATCTATCGTTCTGTGGGCCAGACAACGTGTGAGGATCGAGTTTTGGGCAGCACTCTTCTGTCAGCAGAGTACGAGATGGATCTTAACCAAGTGTCCGCTGGCGTTTTCTTGTATTTCTAGGATGATGAATATTGTGCTTGCTCGGGGAGACAAGGTAGAGAAGACGATCTACAACGCGCAGTCGATCGGAGTCAAGTACAGCATTAGCACCGAGTACCTCACGACAAGCGCATGGAAGTGCCAGAGCCAGCACGGGATGTATTTCGACCCCTACGAGCGCTCGTCTGTCCCGAGTCTCCTGCTTTCTCTTTCCTTCCATCCTTCATCCCAAACTCATCCCTTGCTTTCGGGCCCCGTTTTCCATAGCGCTCTCCCGACCGATCCTAACGCCGACTGTCTTGTCAACCTGCCCGTCTGCGACTGTACTCGTCAAGGTATATCTTCTCTCTCTCTCTTGCCCGCTTTTTCTTGATCCCTTTCTCATCTCCTTTCCTGATTCCTCTTTTTTTGTTATGGGAATTGTTCTTCATAGACATCCAGGACGAAATCAAGAAATCAGGAATCATTGGCGCCTGTCGGAAACTTGGCCAACTCAAGATCTAACAAAAACAACACACAGTACTGCTTTTTCACACATTACTTGTTGCGAAGGTTGGTATAACCATCACAGACTCTCTTCCCTTTTCTTTTACTAAACTTCAAGCCTTTCCCTTTTTTATTTAGTTTGCTTTGGGTTAGAGCATATCAATCGGTTTTATTTATACCTTCTTCATTCTCTCTTACTCTTGCTCAACTTCGACACCACCCAAAAAAAACTCATCCCCCAAGCGTTGTAAGAGTCGTCGATGGCCTTGACTTGCCGACTCTCATGTTGTGTTTTTTTTTTTTTTTTTAGTTGTTGAGGGCCTCCAAAATATCCTTATATATATAAATGTACATATGTATTTAGCTCTTCCAGTAGTTCTTCACGCCCTTTATCTTGGTACTATTTTGTTGTGGTCTGGATTCTTCTAATAAATATCCTCCCCTCCTTGCGATGAAAATTTGACTTGAGATTATATATGAAGCTGCTACATATGTGTGTATCCTGCAGGTACATACATACATCTCATTAACTGCTAGGTGTATTACTCATACTGAGATGTAGACAGGTTTTAAGTCAAGTCTCTATGGTGATCTTGTTACACCAGATTTTTTTTGGAGTGTGAGGACTGCCTTGAGCCACCAACCCAAGTCCCAAGCACAGCTATCGAAACTAAAACCAGTCTTGAGTTAAGTATCCAAACTCATGGATGTCTTGCATTTTACATTCAAGTTTTCACAGTGTGCCCCACTTGAAAAAAATGAAAAAGCTAGAGGCCATATTCCCTACTCAGCATGTGCATACTGATGTTGCTACAATTTTGCAAGTTGAGTACACTTGTTGAGGTGAATATAAATACAACCTTCAGAGCTCCTAGCTCAACAGAGTTTGAAAATTTTTCCCCAGAAAAAACTCAAAATTACTTTCTTATCAGTGGCTCTCAGCATATCCAACATTAACACCACACCCAAATACTTTCCATCTGAACATTTATTTTCAGTTTCAAGCATGTCTTGTGGCTTACTTTATATAGTACTGGCAATGGTAAAGCTCCTTACTTCCTGCTCTACAATTGGGTGGGGTGATTCCAAGCTGGCATTGCCATGTTTCCAAGTAGTTTATTGGGAATGGCGTGGGAATGAAGCAGCTGGAGGGATTTGGAACCATTTCTAAAGAAGTGAAGACAGATCCAAAATTCTCAGGTGATCCACACTCATTACATCCAATGGAATTAAATCCATCCATCGGGTCTTCCAACAGCAAGCAAAGTCATCCGGTGAGTTTTACCTTCAATAAGATTTCCACTCAGAGTACCAATATGGATACTAAAACTATGGCTTTTGTGAAATTGTCTTTCAGGTGAACTTTGTTGAACAGACAGGCCAAATCCACAATAGAATAAATCAATGCAAGACATCAAACACTGAGACCTATTCACCTATTCTGAATCAGAATACTAAAAATCGTCCTAGTACATCACAAGGAGAAAACCCAGCGCACATCCAGCAGAAGAAGATTAAACCCCCACCAGAAACTTGTTGGATTTCTCATGACACAATTGAAAAGTGGGAAGACCCAATCCAGATTCCAAAATGCTTGCACATTTACCATGAAGATTGTGCGGCAGATTGGTATAGTATATCTGACATCTGTCTGCAATGTAACATACCAATGTCTGGCATCTCTTACAGAGAAACATTCCAAAGATTGGAGGCTGTTGGACAAAGACATCTTGACGAAATAGTGAATCAAATCAATGATTTCTCTATGGTCATTTTCATATTTGCAATGTTATATTCCTGTTGGTGCATGTTTGGTTGATAGGAAAATTTATAACAAGAAAAGAAGGGGTTTGAGCATATGAGTTCATCAACTTATACTTTGTGTAGCTAGTGCATGTTCTTATTTATTGAATTTATGTGGTACTTATTTATCAAACAAAGGATCTTTTGCTAAAGAATTTGCACCCCTAAGATTAGGTCCATGCAGGATGTTGTAAATTTGACACATACTTTGCAAATCTTCTGTTTTTATCCTTGTCTATGGAACTCAATCACTGTGATTATTTGGCATAAGTAGTTTTCTAGGATTTGGGCTGTTCCCCAATGAATCAACACACTCTTGTAGACTTTGATATCTGATGTAGGAGCAATTCTTCATTGACTCCGAAAACTCAACAAAGAAATACCCATCTTTTTCCATTCTCCTCATTCTTTCATCTTGCTGGCATTTTCACTTACATCCACACTCTTTATCTCTCTCATCCTTGATTAGTCTCTGGGTGTTTATTTCCACACATGTGGACTGCAGAGAGACTCCTTTATTGATATTTTTTGGAAAAGGTGATAAGGAGAAAGAAGAGTTGACCATGTGCCATTCTCCATTCGTCTGGGTGCATATAATGAGGTAAGTAAAAGCCATGCCAGTCCAGG